TCTCTGGCCTCCGGATTCTCTGTGACTATCTCCCAGTTATACTCCCCTAGGTAGAGTAGGTGATTGGGTTGGTCCATCCGTTGGAGAGAGCGTCACACTGCGGGTGCCTCACCTCGAAGGCTCATGGCCAGCCCTCAGTTGTCTCCCTCTGGGTCAGGCACCAGGCCCTGGGTCAGTCAGCTGGGGCCAGGGACCCAGATCACACTGTCAGACTATAGAGATTTTGTATAAGACCCCACAGGATGGCCCTGTAAGTGGGACTTGAACTTGTATGCTTTTTAAAAGAGGCAGTGAAAGCCCAAAATCCTCATCAAACCTGTCTGGAAAAAAAAGAGTGAGATTTTCAAAAAGATTTTTAATGTGCCTTATGAGTAACTTAAGATCATGTGATTAAAGAATCAGTAAATAAAAACATTTGCTAAGGGTAGTTCTTAGCAACAAAAACGTAGGTTATGAAATCTACACATACCTGGGGAAATTCAAGCATATTTTTCTTTATTCATTGCTTCCCATGCCCTTGATTAGGACATAAAATTGAAACAAACTGTTAGTTACAAAATTTTTTTTAATTGAAGTATATTTGATTTACAGTGTTGTGTTTCAGATGTACAGCAAAGTGATTCAGTTATATCACTTTAACTGAATCTTTTCAGATTCTTTTCCATTATATGTTATTACAAGATACTGAATATCGTTCCCTGTGCTGTCCAGTAGGTCCTTGTTATCTGTTTTATATATCGTAATGTGTATCTGTTAAGCCCAAACTCCTAATTTATCCCTGCCCGACGCTTCCCCTTTGGGAACCATAGGTTTGTCCTCAATGTCCGTGACTCTGTTTCTGTTTTGTAAATAAGTTCATTTGTGTCATTTCTTTAGATTCCACATATAATTGATATCATATGATACTTGTTTTTCTCTGACTTCACTTAGTAGGATAATTTCTGGGTCCATCCATGTTGCTGCAAATGGCACTACTTCTTTCTTATGACTGAGTAATATTCCATTGTATATATATAACACATCTGCTTTATCTGTTCACCTAAGTGTTGATAGATACTTAGGTTTTTCCATGTCTTGGCTATTGTGAACAGTGCACTGTAAACATTGGGGTTCATATATCTTTTCGAATTAAGAGTTTTCATCTTCCAGATATATGCCCAGGAGTGGGATTGCTAGATCATATGGTAGCTCTATTTTTAGTTTTTTAAGGAACCTCCATACTGTTCTCCATAGTGGCTGTATCAATTTACATTCCTACCAACAGTGCAAGAGGGTTCCCTTTTCTCCACACCCTCTCCAGTGTTCATTGTTTGTAGACTTTTTGATGGTGGCCATTTTGACCAGTGTGAGGTGAGTTCTCCATAGTGGCTGTTTCAATTTACATTCCTACCAACCGTGCAAGAGGGTTCCCTTTTCTCCACACCCTCTCCAGTGTTCATTGTTTGTAGACTTTTTGATGGTGGCCATTTTGACCAGTGTGAGGTGATACCTCATTGTAGTTTTGATTTGCATTTCTCTGATAAATAGTGTTGTTGAGCATCCTTTCATGGAGTTATGTACAACATTTAACTGCTTTTCTTATTGTTCTCATACTTATAAACATTTGTGAGTGTGTAAGAAGGGAAAACGTTAAGCTTCCATCTTATCTATTAGATTATAAGCATGATAGACTCATGTACACTTCCCTGCTAGTCCTTTAGCATCTTATCACGCATAGTGTAGCGGACACTCAATAAGTGGCACTAATTACTCAGCCCTGATGCCAATTGATAACAAAGTGCTAATCAAAGAATCTTCGATAAGCGTAGAGTCAAGGAGAAGTCATGCTATTTTTTGGATATTTCATGGCTAATTCCAGCTTCTCTGGGTCAAAACAAAGGATTACTATTACAAAATCTCATTTATTTCCCTTCACACTGTATGTTAGCTGTATGACCAATGCAAATATGAATATTCAGGAAAAAATAAAATTTAAAAATCTTTGGTTTGTTTTCAGTTTATCTTTTTTTTTTTTATTAGGGTTTCAGTATGGAGTTTGAAATCCTAATCAACATGGAATTTAGGCCTGTTTTAATCTTTCTACCTCAGATGTCAGGCTGCCTAACCCTAATTAAAGTGATGAAAGACTACAAAACAAAATGAAGGAGCCTATGAAGATGAAGGATTAATCCTATCTATGGACATCTTTGTAGTTGAATTTTAAAAGTGACCTTCTTGTCCTGTCAGCTCATGAGCATACTGAGTCTGGAAAGAGTAAATGCTTTCATTCTCATGGTCCCTTAGCTGGCTAGTGGCTTAATACTGTAAAATTAGAGGCTAGTAGCATTTTGATGCTTTCAAATTTGTCATAAATCTGAGTTACAAAGTTGATTGTATATATGACCTGTGAATTTAATCTCATTGTTGTTCTACACACACACAGGCACAAACACACACATGAAGTCTTATTTGGCTTTAAAGTGGTAAATCATTTCCAGAGGTGACCAACCACTGGAATCCATGAACAATATAGCTGTTCCTCATTTCACAGATTCTTGGAGAAACCACTCTTAGAGCTCCATACAGGGCGCTTTGACCACATTGTTTTCTTTTTCTTTTCTAACTTTGCGCATAGAAATCCCATGGGTTGAGGAGCCCATTTTGAGAAACGGGTCACAGCAGCTTTTGAAATGCAGGCAGATAAGCAATTGGTGTCAAATTTTCTCTTTGGGGGAAAAAGAGATAAGGAAAGTTAAAATATACTACAGTGGTAACTCAGTGAGGTTCTGTTCTAGTGGTACATTGTATAAATGATAATTTTTGACAACAGTCTTCTATAGGAAAATTTTATGCTGTCTTTGAGTTATTAATAGTACATGGCACTGGTTTCGATTCAGACTTGGAGCTGAAACAAATCATCATAACATTTTTTTTTTCTGTTCTTGCATCAGGTGTATTCCAAAAGCTTCTGAATTTATCCTTGGAATAGGAATGAAGAGTTTACCAAATACAGTACATTTAATGGGAAAACCAAGTCAAATTGAGATGTAATCTCAAGGTGTTTTTATACCTAGTGTTCATGTACCTAGTCTTTTCAGAGGCTCATTGGTTTCTGTTTTTGTGATGTGAATTTAATTGATCTCAGTATAGGCTTAAAATTCAATAAGCGTGTGATTATTCGCCATGTGTGCCGGGACCCATCACACAGGCCATGCTCATGTAATCCTTACATGCACCCTATGAGGAATTATGATCCCAAGTTTTCAGATAAAGAAAGTCTCACAAAACTGTGACTCATCCATGATTATGAGACTAATTGGTGGTATGATAGGGATTATAAATCAGGTTATTTTACCTTCAAACCTTTTATACTTTCCAACAAAATTAATTTATAAGAAAAATCTCAAAAACACTATGATATACACATTCTGTTGATTGTTAGAAGATCAGTAATCTGATTCATCAAAGGAAGATTCTGTTGCCGACTCATTAAAGGAAGTTGATGCAGTGTATGGTTAATGCCATTGGCTTTGGAGTCAGGCCAACACAGGGATGAACCCTGGCTCCACAGCTGTGGAGAAATGTCATGACTTTGAGTAATGTTGTTCGTGTTTTCACTTCTAAAAGTCTCAGTTTCTTCATCTACCAAACAATGATAATACAACGCATTTCATAACGTTATAACAAGAATTGAATACAATACTGAATTTAAAGCGTTTAGCAGAGTACCCAGCAGATAGTACAGATTTTTTGGTAGCTATTATTAGTAGCAGTACTGGTGAGATAGGAAGAAAATATACAAATTGATTAAAGAAAGATGTGCATTATTGTTTTTAGGGACATATGAAGACTTTCTTATTAATAAAATTGTATTGATCTCACTGCAGATTTTTAGTGATAAACAGCCTTTACATAGTATTTATAACTTTATAACTTTATATGATGCTTTTTAAGATATTTTAAAATATAGAATATTTCCAGATTATGTCCATATTTTAACTACTGTTGCTAATGGATTGGGAACAGTGGCATAATAAATTCTAGACAGGTGAGGAGTCCTCAACCCTTTTAAAAAAATGTATGCAAAAATAATTATCTACAGTATATTCTTGGAGTCATTGAAAAAAATTGTACAACTATTACACAGTAGTTATACAAATTTTTGTATAACTTTGATAGGCTCTTAGAGAACAATTTCTCCCCTTGAAAATTATTCACTTTCTGCTAGAGTTAATATCTAGCACAATAGGTCAGAAATTAGTCTATAAGTCAGGAGAAATTGATTGGTTTTCATTATATGTAGATAACTTAATTTTGTTAAAATTAAAAAAGGTATACAACTGATTTATGGCAGAGAGTTTGGGACTTTAAAAACATTCCTGGTACAAGGAGTCTAGGTTGGGAATATACAGAATTAGTCTTCAGTTACATATGTGTACACAGATATGTATGCAATTAAAGATTAATTATATTAAGCTGAAGTTTTCCAAAATCTATGTATACCCATAGAGTTTCTTTTTTTCATTTCCTATAGATATTTAAAAATATTTCTCCATATAGACTTGGTCAAGATACATTAAAGTGTTTAAAGTCATAACTTTTGGATATTTGTCTATATAATAAGTACAGAGAACCTTATGCAAAAATGTGAATTTTAAGTATGCAGTCTTTGCAGATTTAATGCGTCATGAGGATGAAATAGATAAATGTAAGAATGGTTCATCCTTTTATGATAAGCTAAGTTTCTGTTGCTGAGAACTGACTTTTGAAAATATGTATATGAAATAGGATTAAATGGATTAAAAAAATCTCCACTTGTAAACATAAAGGGATGATGGGTATTTGTGTGTTATGTGTGTGTTCCAGCTTATTCATACCCTTTGTCACCCTTTTAATTATCATCCTTTTAACAAAGCAGTGAGTTTTAATGTTTTAACGTTTAGGTCTTCAATATATGATCTAGTTTGAAACAAAAACATCTCAAATTCAAAATATAATCCCATTTTCATTTCTTTTCTCAGATGATGAAACATGCTTGGAATAATTATAAACGTTATGCCTGGGGGAAAAATGAACTGAAGCCTGTATCAAAAGGAGGCCATTCAAGCAGTTTGTTTGGTGAGTAGAATGTGCTTTGGCTCCTTACTGACAGTAACTTCTCTCCAATTGACTGAACTTGTGGGTGATGGAAAAAGTTTGTGTGATCCTCCAGACTGTGTTGCTAGGAAACTTGCATACCTGATGGAGTTGTCTGCAGGGAATGTGCATAGTGTGTCCTTCAGACAGAGCACTGGCTGCACGTTAGAACCACCTGCATCCCTTGAAAAAATACTGATGCCTGGGGCACACTTCCAGAGATCCTTATTTAATGGATATGGGCACAGTGTCATGATTTTCAGCTCCCATGTGGTACCAAGCAGAGGAGCATTTGTTGGCTGCATTAACTGCTTCCTGTCAGGTCAAAGCTGTGTCTTTATCAATAAGCTGGCCAAGGCAGCCAGCCGTGGTGACCTTCACTGTATCTCAGTGACTCTCAACTTTGGCTCTAAATTTCTCCTGTTTGTGCAGTGGAAGAGAAAGTGAGGATGGAGTCATCAGTTATTTAAACTTCCATTTATCCACTTTGGCATCATTTTATTGCTTTTGGTCCTCACAGCATCCCTCTGTGATTAGTACTCTAGGTATTAATAACATTCCCATCATGGAGGTGCAGAAGCTAGGTAACAGAGGTGTTAGGTAGATTCCTTGGGTCACAGAGCTACCCAGTGCCCTTCTCACTGAACTCAGTTCCTCTTCAGTTCCCACAGTTTTGTCTATAAGTAACAGGATGAAGAGGAGGGAACCTTGGTCTGATGCTTCTGAATTCACCATAGAAAAGGTGACTTTCTATACTTTAACTAAAGGTGTTAAATAGTATCAAATCATATAACAACAGTATCAGCTGACACTATGCGCCACGTGCCATTTGTGCATCTTCTCATTTAACCTCATTATTATATGTATTTTATAGATGAGAAATACGAAGCTGAGAGAACAGCTTGCCCAGTGTTAGCCACCTACTAACTGGCTGAGCTGGGACTTGAACCCACATGTGGCTAAGGTCAGAGTCTGCTCCTAATCACCCCATAATGCTTTTCCATTTATTTAGGACCTTCCATGTGTTTGGCTCTCTTTCCAGCACTGGTGTTAATAAACACAATACAAGTCTTTGCAAAGTTCATGACCTAGTGCAGAAAACGTATGTGTAGATAGCGAATTATCAAAGCACTAGGTGGTTCAATAGATATTCATAGGAAGTTCTGAAGAACCATAGGCTCTCTGGTAGGGAGAAAGGCATTGCAGGAACGGTTAGGGAGAGCTGGAAGAGTGGGGAAAAGGCTGGCTGGTCGATCACAGTGACACACTTTAGAGATGAAAAGAGCCACACCTGGAGTCGTGGCAGTACAAGTGATTTCAGATGTTACTAGAGTAGTGTTTTTGAGGACATGGTGACTAGTTAACATGGGTGGTGGGAGGTAGGAATTGAAGAGAGAAACTCAGAAACTTCATGCAGACTCAAAGGTTTTAATTTTTTATTGTTTACTATAACTTTTTTAAAAATTTAATTCTATTTTTGCTTTAATCTCTGTAAGTTGCTCATAGTATTAAGAAGTCAGTTTTGTGTAAATTTGCCATAGTCTTTTTTTTTTTTTTT